TTGGTTTAACATTTGAAAATCAATCAATACATAATAGACTAAAAGGAAAAAACAGGATTATCTGAACACTGCAGCTGCAAAAAGAGCATATGAAAAGAATCCAACGCTCATTCCTGATTTAAAAAAACACAACCTCTCAGATAAATTTATAAGACAATTTTTTCACCCTGATAAAAAAGAGCATCGAACTGCCACCAACACCTACTAATGGTTTAAGAACTACGCCTTCCGGCGCTTGGGTATGCAGAAGGGTTAGGCGCGCCGAATTTCAGCTCAGGTCAGCATCAACCGTCCCGTGAGGTTGGCTGAGTCTCACAGGTCCAGCCTATGGCTCAGAGCCTGGAGCCTGTTTCGACCCCATCTCCTCTCTGCCCTCCCCCTGCTTCATGCGTCTCTGCTCTGTCCCAAAAATAAATAAACGTTGAAAAAAAAAAAAAAAAGAATGAATGCCTTCCCCATAAGCTAAGGAACAAGGCAAAGATGCCTATTCTCACCACTTCCATCCACACTGCACTGGAGCTATAGGTATAGCTTCAGTACAACGGGGCAAAGACAAGAAATAAATGGAATCTAAATTGGAAACAAGTGTAATTGTTTTTATTGGCAGATGATCATCTATGTAGAAAATCATAAGGAATCTACAAAATAGTTACTGGAACTAATAAGTGAGTTTATTTAGTAATATTGCAAGATACAAGATCAATACAAAAAACACACTGTATTTCTATATATTAGCAAAGAACTAGAAACTGAAATGTAAAAAACACATCATTTATGATAGCATCAAAAAATAATTAGGGATCAATTCAACTAAAGGTGTATAAGATCCTCGGACTTCAAGCTGTATTACAAAGCTGTAATCATCAAGATAGTATGGTATTGGCACAAAAACAGACACTCAGATCAACGGAACAGAACAGAGAACCCAGAATGGACCCACAAACATATGGCCAACTAATCTTTGACAAAGCAGGAAAGTGTATCTGATGGAATAAAGACAGTCTCTTCAGCAAGTGATGCTGGGAAAACTGGACAGTAACATGCAGAAAAATGAACCTGGACCACTTTCTTATACCATACACAAAAATAAACTCAAAATGGATGAAAGACCTAAATGTAAGACAAGCCATCAACATCCTCGAGGAGAAAGCAGGCAAAAACCTCTTTGATCTTGGCTGCAGCAACCTCTTACTCAACGCATCTCCAGGGGCAAGGGAAACAAAAGCAAAAATGAACTATTGGGACCTCAACAAAATAAAAAGCTTCTGCACAGCAAAGGAAACAATCAGCAAAACTAAAAGGCAACCGACAGAATGGGAGAAGATATTTGCAAACGACATACCAGATAAAGGGTTAGTATCCAAAATCTACAAAGAACTTATCAAACTCAACACCCAGAAAACAAATAATCCAGTGAAGAAATGGGTAAAAGACATGAATAGACACTTCTCCAAAGAAGACATCCAGACAGCCAACCGACACATGAAAAAATGTTCAACATCACTCATCATCAGGGAAATACAAATTAAAACCACAATGAGATACCACCTCACACCAGTCAAGAATGGCTAAGATGAACAACTCAGGCAACAACAGATGTTGGCCAGGACGTGGAGAAAGAGGATCTCTTTTGCACTGCTGGTGGGAATGCAAACTGGTGCAGCCACTCTGGAAAACAGCATGGAGGTTCCTCAAAAAATTAAAAATAGAACTATCCTATGACCCAGCAATTGCACTACTAAGTATTTATCCAAGGGATACAGGTATGCTGCTTCAAAGAGGCACATGCACCCCAATGTTTATAGCAGCACTATCAACAATAGCCAAAGTATGGAAAGAGCCCAAATGTCCATCAATGGATGAATGAAGAAGATGTGGTATATATACACAATGGAGTATTACTTGGCAATCAAAAAGAATGAAATCTTGCCATTTGCAACTATGTGGATGGAACTAGATGGTATTAAAGCGAAATTAGTGAAAGACAAATATCATATGACTTCACTCATATGAGGACTTTAAGACAGAACCGATGAACACAAGGGAAGGGAAGCAAAAATAAAATAAAAACAGGGAGGGGGA